GAGGAAGTGGCTCGTGGAGGAGTTGGCTGTGATTTCTGAGTCTAAGGAGGTTGCTGGTGATATGATTCCAGAGGTCGTTCTTGAGCAGGTATGTTTAACTGCAACTATTTGGCTTTTAATGTCTTGTATACTCTTTGTTTAGGCTTGAAGTTGTGCTATGCATATAATCTGCACCAGTTTAAGATACTTACTGAATGTCTTGCTAATTCTTTTGTTGCTTAAAAACCTTTTTGTGATCAAATGATCACTAATCTGGTAACACATCTTCTGTTGGCGGTTGTAAAGGTACATGTGAAGTACTACAGGAAATAATTGCAACTCATGTGTTATGCACCAATAGTAGGTGGAGTAGTGGAGATTGATGTAGTAGATCATTGCACAGGTTTACTGTAAAAGATAAAGAGTGTTTAGTGAGTGTTTTAAATTGCTGAAACTGCCGAGTTTTATAAAAGGGAAAGTGCTTGATAGTCGAACCATTTCAGTTAATTAGCTAAATAAGTCAAAAGCTACTCAGGGCTACCAAACAGAGCCACAAATGTATTGTGATCCCAAAGCCTGTTATAAATTAGAAGCTTAGAAAGTATTACAGTCAATACCCACTAGATGATGGTAGTTAGACTCTTAAATTTGACCATGATTAGTGTTTTGGAGAAGATAACACTCCATTAGCTACTATAATCTATTACCAATTGTCCTTTTATTGTGCTCTCGTCATGCAGGTATTTGGCGAAAAGGCATTCGAGAAATTTGGAAAGGGATTCATCTCAATGCACTTCTCAGATCAACACATAGGCTCACACAAGAAGATGTTGGTTTTCAAGTTTGCGCTTCCCAATGCTACTGACATGTCTGACATGACCCGCCTGATCGCCCTTGTCCCTTATTACATTGACTTGATCGGAAAATACAAGCTTAGCTCACATGTAAGATTTACATCAGAGCTTTTTAAACTCCAAATAGCAAATGTTAGCACCCATTTGTATGTGTTATTTGGCTGAAATTGAGGGATTCTGTAAATTGAAAAGCATTTAGTCAAAACCATTTCAGCCAAGTAAGTCAAAAGCTATGTATTTTGCAGGGCAGCAAATAAGAGAGTATGACTGACAAACAGAACCGTACTATTATATTTTTTGTATCACTGTTACAATCTGCTTTTAATATATGTGGAAATTAAATCAGGCTCGTTCAAAAGCGGATGCAGCACGTCTCAAGGTAGCGCAAGAGTTCTACAAGGAACTTCAAAATGCAAGGCAAGAAGCTTTGCAGAGGAAGAAGGCTGATCAGAAAAAGAAGTTGGAAGAGGGGGAAGCTAAGCTAAGTGCTGAGGCTCTTCGCAGGAAAGAGGCGAAAGACCGTGCCCGTCAATTGAAGAAGGGCATGCCTAAAATGAAGATGACCCGTGCTCATTAGTTTGTAGTAGATGCCCGTCAATTGAGTGTGTTCTACACGAGTGATTTTAAGCTGAACTGTCTTCATTGATTTTGTACCTTCTTTGTTTGTTACAGGCAGTCTTAAGAGCGTTGATTAGACTTGTTTTGTTAGTCTCTTATTTCTGTTAGAAATAATTACGCACTAGGCTCTGTTAACAGCACCCCTTTCTTTTTTAGTTGTTCAGGAATTTGACAAATATAGAAGGAAAAACGCATGCATATGCAGCTAGATAATGTGCTGCGCTGTGGGAGTGTGTTTGGATATAATGATATATCAGTTTGCTTTAAATTTCAATGTTCAGCTTGTGCAAAGCTAAATCCGAAACAGGTTTTAGCAACAATTTCATGTTGGCATTTTATTTTATTCATCGCTCAATCACTACTGAGAGAGTCAGAGACTGAGAGTATTGGATTGACTTCGAGTAGGGATGGACACTAGTTACTAATTTTGATTTCCCTGGATGTTTTTTTAAAACTAAAATTTTCTGGTCTAATTTGTCTAAGTGTACTCTTACTTGAACTAGTCGAGTTTAATAAAGGTTTGATGTGTATTCCACTATAATCTAAATTTGATCAATTTTGGTCTAATTTGATCTTGGTTAGAGTGTTAGACTGATCCGACAAAATGATACTAATATCATCATTACCACATTGTTGCAAAGGCTTCACACCTTCACTGGGGTAAAATATACTTCTTCCGTCCCGTTTCCGATTTTCTTTTTTAGCCGTCCCAAAAAATAATGATAGGAAATCATACAATAAACTATAAGGTCCTATTTACCCTTTTGGCAAGTTTTTTGTGACTCACATTCAATTACTTTTTTCTTACACAACAACAACAATACATTTCCACTTTATTCTCACGTTCTTAAACTGCGATTTAAGTCAATGCGATAACTGTTTTATGGGACGGAGAGAGTACTTATCAAAGGAAAAGGGGAAATAATCCGGACTCATATTTCAATCCCGGATTATTTTGAATAATTTTCATCACTCAATCATGATTCCAAAACAATCCCCCACACAACTTATCCTCAAATAATCCTATGAATGAGGATGCCCTAACAAAAACTACATTTGAGATTCTCAAGAACAGTAATTACGTCATTAAGGCTGCATATTCCTACGCTGAACTCTTTTTGGCGGGATCTTCCTCAAAAAGATTCCTTTTGCTATTATATACTACATATTAAATTAATTAATAGATTTTATTTGAAGTAAAGATTTGAGCATTAAAATTAGTAACACGGACAAATTGTAGCAGCAAAAATGATGGATAAAAAGTTGATTTATTGATTGTGTTCAAATTTTATTTTATTTTGACCATAACTTACTTCAAAATTTACATCACACTAACTCTAAAACCTCATGATAATAACTTTAATCTCGTTTTTGTCCATGAATTTTTCAATTAGTACTATTTTAGAAAATGCCCCAAAATTTAAAATTTCCATCTTTAATAAATTCAATTCCTTCGCCTTCAAATTAAAAGTTTAAACATTTAAGATTTTTACTCAAATCTTCCTCATTTGTTTCCCCCCTTTGATCGGATTTGTCATTCATTATTTCAATATTTCCAATTTACGTTATTTTATGTGTGCCCATTTTTATATTACTCCTCTCACAAAACTTAATGTATTTTGCTCGATTAAGAATGATGGTGCGCACACTTATATGAGAGGAAATTGACGATTGGACTAGAAAGTGAAATGATAGATGGAAGTATGGAACTAAAGTGCATGCTGCAACCTGCATGAAGAGATAGTCATGTTGAAAGTTGAAGGGTGATATAATTCTTGACGAAACACTCATTTTATTAAGATTCTATTGCTTCATTTAAAAAATTCAAATTGAAATTATAATTGCAATTGAAATTGCTCACATCCGTCACACACAAACCAAAAAACCAATTTGAATTTTATTTATTTTAAGAGTTTCATAAAAAAAACGCATTGAGTCAATAAGATGGAACTATTGAAGTGCCTTCTATTTTCAATTAATTTTCACTCCTTAAAGTCAAATAACTCGGTTAGTAATATAGCCGTGTTAGTTGGTAATATTTCCAAGTAAGAAAGTAGATAATAACTTGCTGAAAATCATCAAAACTACGAGAATCCATACTACATTAAACTTTAAATAGAATTTGATTATGTATATTATCCTAGATCAGGTTTCAAAACTGTTTAAAATTTTCAAACGTTAAATATCATAGTACGAAATTACGAATATTAGGGCGCTCTTGGTAGGGATGGCAATTTAGCCCGACCCGACGGATACCCGCACTGAACCGAATCGGTCAAAATGGGGAAAACTGCATTGACTGGGTAACGGGTACGGGGCGGGGAATACCCGATTTATGTAAACGGGTAATGGGGTGGTTATGGGTTTATACCTACCCGCCCCGTTACCCGCCCCGTTACCCGCCCCGTTTAATTTGGATACAGTTACCCGCACCATTGCCCGACCCGCACAATTAACTTATACGGAGTATATTTTAATAGTTTATGTATTTATTATTTAATATATTAAGTATATATGAGTAGTAGTACATTAGTATATGACACTTATTCCCTCTAATACTTTAAAACAATATTCAACTTATTGGCTATCCTTTGCAATTATGAGGAGTTGGTGCTCAAAGTTCACGATTTTAGATTTTGAATTTTCAATATCATTCATCATCCTTCCCTTGTTAACTTCTACAAGATTTATTTTCTTCACACATTGATTATTTGATTTTCGTGATTTTCTCTACGCAATTTTCACATTGTGACTCTTTTAATTTTTCACCCAATAACTTTCATAAAAATCACGTATGAGTTTAAAGTCCAAATATTTTAGATTACTCAACCTTTCTTTAATTTATGTAATTGCTAATAATTTTGTAGAGGTGTATGGATGATTAAATTAATTGTGATTGGTTGCTATAAATTATATCAAGCTTTAAATTTTAAATTATGATTTTGTGGTACTATTTAATTTTGTTTTTTTAACTCTATTTAACTCTATCTGTGGTACTATTTAATTTTTTTAATTTAGGTGGTTAATGATAAGTAGTTAATCATCATTCTAGGATTTATACTAATTTTGAAGGGAAAAAATTACTTCATCTGTCCCAATATAAAAGGCACACTTTCCTTTTCGGTCCGTCCCAATATAAAAGGCACATTTCCCTTTTTGGCAAACAAAACAGTGTCAAACAGTGCCAAACAGTGTCCAAACAGTGTTCAAACAGTGTTCACCCTTAAAAAGTCCCCAAACGCAAATGTGCCTTTTATATTGGGACGGAGGGAGTATTTTTTAATAAAACGGTTACCCGCGGGGAAAACCGTTACCCGCGGGTAAAAAATACCCGACGGGTAACGGGGCGGTTTCAGGGATTTTTTTATCAAACGGGGCAGGTACGGGTAATGGTATACCCGTCCCCGAACCGCCCGCCCCGTTGCCATCCCTAGCTCTTGGTCTCATTTCAGTTCAGAAATCAGAACTAAGACTTGCCTAAGCATATATTCAGAAAGGCCACGAAAAGATAAATATCAATTTCATTAAAATCAAGGAAAGCGTCTCTTTATAACTTCTTTAATTTTAATTTTGGAACATGGGATAATAACTAAGTTCTTGAATTTTTTACACCACTTTCTTACAAAGTCCGCACCCTCAGATTTTTAACACCACTTTCTTACAATACCACGCTGGATAATAACTTGTTATTATATTATATTCATGACTTTATAAAGGCGTCTGGTATTTATGTGCGCCAAGGAGAACAGTTCAAAACATATGGTGATGAAAAGGTCGGTTTTATTGGATATGGTTTTAGCTCTCCTTCAAAGCTGCAATAACCACCCTCTTAGGGAGATATTCAACCATGTTATTGTCTGAGCGAAAGGAGGCGTCTTAACCTTTTACCAAGCAGCAGCCGGAATGGAGGAGCCAGAACGGGAAGAGTTGTGACCATTGCAACATAGGCAAGAAGCCAAATCAAAGCCCTGCTCCGCCTTGACATCTGATTTAAGCATTTCCAAACCAGAAACAACTTTACAGTGTCGTTCTCATTGGGTTCAGCAAACTCGGCAGTGATACTCACATTTGCTTCTTCCGGTGGCATCATTTTGTCATCACACTGTAAAGATGGTTCACCATGTGTGTCATGTTCTTTGATTAAGTGTTCAGTCGGCTGTCCTCCTACATCATTTCTTGGTGGTGGCTCATCAGCAACTGCAGTCACCATTCCATCATCTATCAATCTCACATAAGGAGCTTGATCAATTGAAGATTCAATGAGGCTAGTCGATGTGGTGGCATCTTGTGTGCCTACAACAAATATCAATTAAACATCAATCACAGTTAATAATATGGCAATATATAGGACAGCTGACAGCGCTGAGGTTATCTATTCATTCTAGGCTTAGGGAATTACGGCACCTCGGGTGGGGCTTTGTGTACTTGGGGTTGGGTTTTATATCTTCTTGTTGCTTTCCTTTTGTTCTTTTTTCCTTTTCCACTTGTACTATCTTTGTTTCCTTTAATAAACTTTCTTTTCTTGAAAAAAAAAAAAATAGGACAGCTGACAGCATGGTAGTATTTAAATGTTCATGGGCCAAACAAGCTAAATACATTGGCCTCGTTCGGTATATATTTCTTTATTCAAGTTTTCAAGTTTGAGAAAATTATCTCTCATGTGACTAAAACATCAATCATTTCCCAATGTATGAGTCCTTGAGTTTTTTTCCAATACTAATACGTGCATGAGTATTAATAGGAAGTTTTTACTCTTCCTAAATAGTAGGAAATGGTATGGATGCACGGTTATATCCCTTTAAGAAGCATATTTAAAAGGTGTCATGTTTATATGGTAACCGTTTTTTGTCATATTATGAGAAATCTCATTATTTAGTCATATTATGAGAAATCCTCTATGTTTTGGTAATATTACCGTAATAATCCTGTGTGTATATTTTAAGGGTCTGTTTGCAACAGCTTCTGCTTTTGAAAAAGTGCTTTTTTTAATGAAATGAAGAGAAGTGATTAAATAAAAGTTGAAAGTGTTTGAGAAAAAAGTGATTTTGAAAAGTAAAAGTGGATAGTATTTGGTAAAATAAGTGCTTTTTGTGTAATAGAAAAAGTAAAAGCACTTTTGACGCGGAAGCCGAGAAAAATAAAAGTTGTAGTGTTTGGGAAAATAAGTGCTTTTTTAAAGCCAAAAGTAGAGAAGTGCTTTTTGAAAAGCAGATGCAAACAGAGCCTAAGTATTTTTATAACAAGTAATATACTGCACACTTTCTACAAAGTGCTAAAAGCATCAGCCAATTCTAAATCAAAACTGTCAGGAGCAAGCCGCTAATTACCTTATTTTACAACCGTCCTCCTGAGATTTTGTATTGTGCCATTTGTGCATACATAAAGTCATAAATTGTGTGACATTTTTTTCTATGGGTTCACAGTGAACTGAAAAGGTGTTGAATGTTTCATGGTGGTGTGTCATGATGAAGTCACATGGTAGCACATAAAAGATTGCGTGAATTTAATGCCTGTGGATTTTTTTTATGCATTTAGATATTTTTATTTGAATACATTTGTACATATAAGCTAAAAATATTTATTGAAAATGATAAATATATCAAATGAAAGAACACTATCAGATAGATCTGAGCACCTCTTTCTTTGATAAAAGGACTAGAGTACAAAGCTCCAAAGTATTCATCAACTGCCCTTACCCACCTGTCAATTAGTTTCAATGCTACACGAAAATAAGAAGAATGGCTAGTCCACTTATGAAGGAAAGAAACAAAGACATTATGCGATTAGCATTTATTATTATGTTATTTTTGAATAGCAGCAGATGCTTCATCAGTTTTTTTTGGAATATTCTTCTAAACCTGTTATAGTATAGGCTCTTGTTAATGTCAACATCCTTGATTGGGTTGAGACTCAAATCTGCGAGCTCCTTTTTGGGAGATCAACTGTGATGTCATCAAACCACAAGGTACTTGGTAGTTAACTATGAACTTATGATGCATTTATTATTTCATATATACAACACTAAAATACATATGCATATACCATTGGGGATTATACTTCAAATCCAACGCTTGAGTATCAGTGCCTACCGTAAAATTTTGACCTGTAGTAGGTCCAAAATGAATTTTAATATTGCATCCTAATTTCTGCCTGATCTGACCCACCTTTTACTCCACATTTTATACGAGTATATAATAGTACTTGCATTAGTGTCATAAATGTGTGTACAACAACACCCAAGCCTTAATCTCAAAAGAATTCGGGATCGACTAACATGAATCGATCTATGATATCGATGCCAAATAGAGAAGACAGACAAGAAGGAGAAAAAAGTAAGATAGAACGGATAAAATAAAGATAAATAAATATAAGATAACAATAACATAAGATTATAAGAAAGATAAACGATAGAAAGATAAAAAAGCATAAAAAGCTAGAAAATAAAAATAACATTAGAATATAAAAGGATAAAGAAGATAAACGATAAAAGGGAAGAAAGAAGAAAGATAGAGAAGATATCAATCGTCCACACGGATGTGCGCCCTCCACTTTGCTCTCTCCAAAGTGGATGTGCATATGTACAAACAGTAACGCAGAAACTAGTCTAGCTGATTTTAATATTATATATTAATAACAATATTTTAGAAACAACAATGTTTTGGCGGAAGAGTACTCTTATTCTCCTATTAAAAAATAAGGGTGTTGTACAAGAATGTGCCAACTATCGAGGGAAAAACAGTTTGTAGCTGTTTAACAGATCATATATGTAAAATTTTATATAGTTAAAGAGTGATCAAAAGTTAGTTTTTTATGAAAATTATACTACGTATTTCATTTTGGATCAAAAGTTAGAACATAAAACATAGAAGATCATGAGCTGGATAACGGCAAAGAAAGACAGTCTAAAATTTGAGGGCCAGTAACATGGATACTAAACTATGGGGGCATATCCACTATGGGGGCAGTGGGGCAGCTGCCCCCTCAACCACAACCAAACTCCTATATATATCTAAAAATTTATAGGACATTGCTCAAAGTAAGAGTTAAATAAGGAAAAATTCTAAAATAGAATTAAGATTCTCCTAGCTGTTTCTCCTTGTTTGCTGTCGCCAGCTTTGTTGCTATCAGATTCTCTGAGTTCGCAGGTTTCATCTTAGTCGCAAGCAACTTTTTCCAGTTCTCAGGCTTCGGTGAATCGGCGTGAGCCTGCAGTTTGCAGGTTTCCTCATCCGCTGTCAATTCGTGTCAAGGCGCGATGCTATCAGGAGTGGAATCCAGTTTGCGACGATCTCCATTTGGGAACCATAGCACAACACGATAAAGAGGAGAAGAAGATCCTAGGCAGCTGTATCCGCGTGCGAGCCCTAGTATGACGACATGCAGGGGAGAAATTATCAGTTTGCAGGCGACACCAAATGAACGGGAGATGTCCTTCAAAGGAAGCCATATCCGCCCAGGAAGGAAGATTTCCTCATCCGCTGTCAATTCTATCAAAGTGTGTGTATCATCTGGTGCCTGAGAACTTTATTAATACCGGTATCTTGATTATTGACAAGCATGGAAATGAAAATGTGTCCCTGCTATTTCCAAATTCTAAAAAGTCCTTGGACAGAAAGCCATCAGATGATGACCGATACCAATGGGTGGTAGCTTCTAAGAGACTCAAGGGTTCCGATATGTTCAAACATCAAAGGCATTTTATTGATGAGTTGAAATTGTTTCATTCCGGGAATCTGGCAGAGTTAGTGCACACGTCCCTGCTTTGGGAAGGAAAAAATGCTGCCTAAGAACTGATCAATAATGTCACAGGGGCTGAGGAAGAGGGCCGGTCTCTCCAACATATCCTTACCTATTCTGATCGGAAGGTTGCTAGTGCCCAAGACCGAAACCCAGAAGATTTTAAATCTTTAATTGACAGAATTCATGAATTAGGATTGGTTGTTTGTATGAATAGTGTACACAATACATCACCAAACACTAGGAATGGCTGAACAAGTCTGATGGTACCAATAGTTGCTATTCCCACTCTGGATCCCTAGGTTTTCATAGGATGTGGGCTCTCTTCTAGTTAACTATGGACAGTTGGAAGTACTGAGATTGCCTCTTTAAAGCAGAGTTGCAGGAAGCTCCTAAGCTACCGGCAAGAGTAGCTATTCACTATGGGATTCCAGCCACTGCCTATATCCTGGTTTTCTACCCTATTCCACAGCTCTTAGCTATTGGGACCTCAGATGGTAAGATGAAAGTTGTTGGAGGGAACACTATTGAAGGCCTGATGGTATTTCCTAAGACACAGTCTTTCAAGAATTTAGAGTTCTTAGAAAACAAAGGTCGAATGAAGATGAAAACAAAAGCATTTCTTTTCGGTTTTGACAATTTCAATAGTTAAGATTCGGAGTCAACTACGTCAATTCTGCCGCCGATGTATAAGGGCAAGGAAAAGGTCAAACAACGTCAACAATCGTTCGCATATTCGCCGGCGGAGATGAGATCCTGGCTGGACGAAATGCGCAATACGGGTAGGCTGGAATTCAGTTAGAATTGGGCTGGGAGAGTGAGGCCTCTCGAAGTGTCTCTGTTCGTCTCCTTCTTTCTGTTTACGTTACTTTACTTATCACGCCGTTGTAATAGCCTAAGGAACTTCTGAGATTTCTCTATATTCCTACTTAATATACCTAAAATTTCTGCTGTGTTTGTTGAGTCCTCTACCTTTCCCATATATTTTCCCATGCAGATAGTTCTCTAGGTTTGCATTAATGATCTCACAAAATGTTTACACAAGAACTAATGTAAATACCGGCACTCATCCCATGGAACTGCCTCTGTTGTACAAACTGGATCGTCCAACGCATTAATGCAGAGAAGAGGAACTGTTACATTTCCAACATAACAAGTACTGCTACATAACCTACATTGCCTGTGCCAAGTCAAAGTAACAAATAATCAGGCTTCAGTAACAATTAATGAATGTGAATCATTGAAAGGTGATTTAGAAACAATTTAAAGTTGGTACCTCATAGTTACCAAGGAGACGAGTGGCATGATTATCAAAGTCTCTAACACTACTTGACTATAAGAAAGCACAAAAATACTTCAATAGAGGTAGCTAACTAATTAGGTCATGGACACCATTCAATTTTACAAGCAAATTATCAGTTCTACAATGGTCGTGATGTGTAGAACAAAGAGAAAACATAACTATAAAATTAGTGAAATGTTCTTTTAATTCATTCTTGCAGAGTGAGAAATGGCATCCTGCTAAATTAAAGACTTTCTAGTACATCTGAATAATAAGGGTAGGAGAAATAAATCATGATATAGATATTGCTAGTACATCTTGATAAATTAAAGAAGGGTGGCTGTTGGTTGGTAGGAAATTGCGTTTAAACCACAAACTTGATCATGTATATCGAGTGTTGGCTAGTATAGCTAGCTTATTCCGTTACAATATTAATTAGTTTGATAAATAGGAAACTGCACAAAATAAAGTAGAAATGATGGAAAAAGTTATTATATACTCCGTATAAAATACTACTATTAAATTGTTTAGTTCCCGAGACAAAGCTTAGCTTGTTTAATCTTAATGAGCTAACACAATCTACAATCTGCTATTTAATTTATGTAAAATATGAACTACTAAACTACTCCGTACTATATTAAGATTTCAATTACATCTCTCATAAGATTGATCTTTTATGATGAAAGAAGTCTGGGACTTAAGGACATATGAGACCAAACGATTCATAACCATGTAGATCCCCTATAAAAACGATCACAATTATGAAAAATGTCAATGATTATGGTGAACTAAAAATAATGAATGACGATGCGATCCAGACAATTTGTCTGGTCATGAAAGAGAGTGATGAAATATTTACACCAGTGAAATATGAGGACTTTATATTACTACCTCCGTCCCCCTATGTTTGGGACAAGAGAAGGTGACACGGTTATTAATAAAAGTGGGTTTATGTGGTTGATATTGAATTGATAAAGTAAGAATAAAGTAGGAATGATTTAGAACCACACAAACTTTACCAAATAAGGTATGGGACAATCTTAGTGGGACAGACCGAAATGGTAAAATGGGACAATCATAGCAGGACGGAGGGAGTAATATTTTAAGCTACTCATTCTATATGATGATCTTTCAGAATAGAATGTCATTTATCTTACTCATTTACATCTCTTCTCTCTGCACCTCCAATTGATCCCTCTCTCAACTCAGATTCCCCCCCCCCCCCCCCTTCTTTCTCTTCGAATTATGTTGTCGCACTAAATGACTGCAATTATGACACATGGATTTTTTGTGAGTATTTTAAAATTTTCATATTTGTGTTTAGATTTATTTAGTACTGTTTTTGTTTCACTTTTAGTTACAACAAGTTGGATTTTACATGCGTAGTAAATTTACCTGCTCTACTTGGACCATATTTTATTTATTGGTGTATGAGATTTTTTTAATATAGTTATATTCAATTAATTACAAATTTTCAAAATCTGATTTTTTTAAAAATTTTTAAAAGTGGAGATTAAATATATTGATGATAGGGTGGAGGGATTATTATTACATACGCACATTACAAGTTCATACGTAGTATAACAAATAAAGTTATAATTTTCACCGAACAAATTTTATTACTTTATCGTGTTTGCGTATACTAGATTGAATTAAAACATATGACTAAAGAAGGAAAGACACCTTACTATGTGAATTCAATCCCTGAGGACAGAATCGTTGAAGACAATTTAGCTTGAAATCAGAGAACACACTTAACTCCAAATGGATCTACTACAAACTATTGAGCATGAGTCATCTTCATTTTAGGCATACCCTTCTTTGATTGACAAGCACGGTCTTTCGCCTCTTTCCTGCAAAGAGCCTCTGCACTTAGCTTAGCTTCCCCTTCTTCCTTATAAAAGCTTTTTGCCTTGCATTCTGCAGTTTCTTTGATATGAAGCAGAATCTGGGTTTCGAAGAAGAGGGGAAGAAGCCCCCGTGGGTTTACCGAAGGCGGGACGGGCTTGAGCCTACCTCCGTGGGCTGGTTACGGGCTGTTTAATTAATAATTATTCTTTTTAATTTTCCTGATTTGTTTCCTATTAGGAGTTAATTATGATTTCTAATATTTGTTTCCTATTAGGAGTTAGTTAGGATTTCTATTATTTCTTTCCTATTTGAAGTTGATTAGGATCTTTATTATTCTGTTTCCTAGTTGGAGTTGATTAGGATCTCTAGGATTTTGTTTCCTACTTTAAGAGTTAGTAGATGGGTATTTAAACCCCTTGTTAGGCTTCATTCTTAATCAATATTGGAATAAAAGTTGGTTTAGCCTTTTGGCTCTGGGCAACGGTATTTATTTATCGTTGATTATCGGGCAACGGTTCATACCGTTGATTTTATTTTTTCTGTTCTTATCAATTGGTCCGACCTGCCGGATCCCGTCCCGCCAGAATGACGAAATCTATCAGTGAACATTTGTCAGAGATGAAGCAAACCCTGGAAGCAAACGGCAGGCAGCTGGATGAGATCGCTGCATCCCTTGCGGCGCTGACCAAGGCCCATGTGCCATCGATCACGACGGAGACACCATCAGACACAGTCATCGGTGCCACCATCGTAGCGGCAACACACGACGACGGACCTCCGCGCAGCACTCCTCCAACCTTGCTGCCCATGTTCGACAGAAAAGAACCGATTAGGGGGATAGCTAGGGCTGAGCAAAAGTTCGAAATTAATCAAACCCTACCTGAGAGGAAAGTGACAGCAGTTACGGTAGCCATGGAAGGAGCTGCCTTGGACGGGTTGACCTGGTTGAAGGCACAAAAACCGAGCATGACCTGGGAGAAATTTACAGAGGTGGCCCGATTTGATTCACGGTTCAAAGAAAGCCGATTCAAACGACTGTTCGGGGTCAAACAGTTGGGAACCGTAGAGGAATATAATAATCTTTTTGATCAATTGGCCAGTCAGGTTCCCGGACTGTCCGATGATTATTACTTGGGGTATTTCATGAACAAGCTAAAAAAATCAAGTGACAGCTTTCCTCAAGATACGGGGCAGCCCCCGGGGACAAATATGAGCCGGTTTCCGGATTTCAGCCTTGAGGACAAGGTTTTTTTGAAGAGGGATGGAATTGATATGAAGCAGAATCTGGGCTTCGAAGAAGAGGGGAAGAAGCCCCCGTGGGTTTACCGAAGGCGGGACGGGCTTGAGCCTACCTCCGTGGGCTGGTTATGGGCTGTTTAATTAATAATTATTCTTTTTAATTTTCCTGATTTGTTTCCTATTAGGAGTTAATTATGATTTCTAATATTTGTTTCCTATTAGGAGTTAGTTAGGATTTCTATTATTTCTTTCCTATTTGAAGTTGATTAGGATCTTTATTATTCTGTTTCCTAGTTGGAGTTGATTAGGATCTCTAGGATTTTGTTTCCTACTTTAAGAGTTAGTAGATGGGTATTTAAACCCCTTGTTAGGCTTCATTCTTAATCAATATTGGAATAAAAGTTGGTTTAGCCTTTTGGCTCTGGGCAACGGTATTTATTTATCGTTGATTATCGGGCAACGGTTCATACCGTTGATTTTATTTTTTCTGTTCTTATCATTCTTATAAAAATATTGCAGCTGCCTTGGGATGCATCCGCTTTGGCCTCTGCTTTTGGATGAGCCTGGTTTAATTTCCACATTTCTAAAAGCAGTTTGAAACAAGGGAGGAAAATATAATAGTAAGGCTCTCTTTTGCAAAATACTAAGCTTTTGATTTACTTGACTACTATGAATTGTAGTAAACAATTTTACTTTAATAAAACTCAGCAATTTTAACTAAATAACACATACCAAACATGTGCTATGTTTGCTATTTTGAGATTCAAAAGATCTGATGTAAAACTTACATGTGAGCTGAACTTGTATTTTCCCATCAAGTCAATGTAATTAGGCATAAGAGCGATCAGGCGGGTCATGTCTGATCAGTCATTAGCATTGGGGAGCGCAAATTTGAAAATCAACATCTTCTTGTGTGAGCCTATGTGTTGATCTGAGAAGTGCATTGAGATGAATCCCTTTCGGAATTTCTTGAATGCCTTTTCGCCAAACACTTGCATGATGAGTACACACTACACAATAAAAGGACATTGATTATCAATTCTAGTAGTTGATGCCTTGATGGAGTGTTATCTTCTCCTGAACACTAACCGGGGTCAAATTGAACAGTGACTATTATCATCTACTAGGGATTGACTTTCTCACACTCTCAACATCAGATTGGAATCTTCCTAAGCTTCGTATTTTATAACATGCTTGGGGATAGCAATACATCTGTGGCTCTTTTTGGTAGCCCCAAGTAGCTTTAACTTTTTTAGCTAATTAGTTGAAATGATTCTACTATAAAGCACTTTCTCTTCGATAAAATCTAGCAGTTTCATCAATGCCAAGCATTTACAGAACAGACACTTTGTCTTATACTGTAAACCTGTACAATCGTGAATCATCATCTACTAAATCAAACTCCACCACTTCACCAACAATTGGTGCATAACACATGAATAGCAGTCTTGCAGATTATTTCCTGCAAGACTTCACACCTTAGTGACCCTACTTTTACAACCACAACCAGAAGATGTTAGTTACTTATGCCCTATTGGATTAATGATTATTTGATCCCAAAAAGGTTTTTAGGTAGCAAAATAATCGACAAGACATTCATAATAAACTTAAACTGGTACAGATTCTAGTCATAGCAGAACAGGATATACAATAAAACTTTCTAGGCTATAAAAAGTATTCATGACACTTCAAGATAAATAGTTACTAGGGTAAACATACCTTGCTCAATAACAACCTCTGGAATCATATCACCAGCAACCTCCTTACAGTCTTAGAATCAGAGATCCAGCCAACTTTTTGGCAAGCCACTACCTCTATTACCCACTTCTTCCTCTGTTGTACGATTTTAATCATCATTACTGTAAAAGTCACCATCTGTCTTTGCTAGTTTTCGGATCTTTTTCTTTGCCCCAAAGTTCCGCCCTTTAATAGAGGCCAAGCGTTTCCTATACCGTAACGCTCCAGCATGTATGGGAATGCCTCTTCTTAACACTAAGTTCATTAGATATATGCATTTGTATCTCATACTTATCAATGGATGCTTCTCTGTTAAGAAATTCTTCTTAAAAGCTTCCCTTAGAACTACAGTCTGTGTACTAATTTTATTAGAAACGTAAAATATCCCTGGATGATGCACCAAAGCCTTTTTGAATCTCATCCCAAACCCCAAACAGTCCCCAAGAGAATAAACATTCTCCTTCTCTGTCTTCTTTGACACTAGCAAACTAAGCATTTCATGGATCACAGCAACTGCCCATTTCTCTGCCTGATCGCTGCTCGGATTCAAATGAAAAGCATCCTCATATGGAGAAATGTAAGGCAAGTTTTGCCACTCTTCAACCCAATTTGCCACCCTCTTTTGCAAATCAAACCCTCCTGGTAAATTAATTGAAAACCTAATGTGCCCTCCCTTTCCATTCTCAGAAACCTCACTCCTCACTCTTTCTTCCATGACCGAAACTGCTAAATCATCTCTCCATTTAACCAATTCCAGTCCGAACACTGGAGGACCAGATGAAGATGGATCCTTAAATCCCATGTCACAAATCTGAAAATAGTCCGGAAATTCAGGTAGAAAACTGAGTATATAATCATAGGGCAGGCCCAAATCAAACCTAAACTTGTCAATCACATCCAGAGGGAGTCTCCTAGCTCTAGCTAGCATCAAGAGCTTCGTGAGCCGTTCTGCAACGTCTTTCTGGTATAATGAAAGGCCTGTAATCAGTGTTTCATCGTTGTGTAAGGAAAGAGCCTTTGGAGTGAGTTTCACGTGAGGAGTAGATAGCCGGCTGTTTGGAGGCCGGAAAATCTTGAAAACATAAGGGTACCTCTGGATGAATGTCAATGCGGTGGTTGGGAGCCTTAGCTGGGGCTTCAACGGGGAGATAGTTCGGAGCGGTAGGGTTTTAGAGGGTTGGGAGAGGATCAATGATTTGAGAGTGAGTAAGGGTTTGAGGTTCTTCTCATTCTCCACTGCCGTGTCGAGGTAAGGGTCCCTGACCCACTTCACCTTGGCGTTCACAAACGTGCGAGCGTGGCGGATTTGCTTGGCTGCCACGGCGGCTTTGATGTGGGACAGAGCCATCGGCCGCTGCTTGGACGTTCGAAATTTGGGAACTGCCAATTTACTACCTGGCGCTGATAAGACCACGCTAGTACCGCAACCACCTGCAGCTCGTTGTCATCCGCCAGACAGAACAATGCGGCGAGGATGAAAACAGTCCAGCTGTCCGACGGCTGGACTGTTTTATTACTCTGTGGGAGTCCTATACCTCCTAATGGCGTCTATTACTCTGTTCAAACAGTTCAAAGTACTTCAAAGTTCAAACAGTTCACAATAAAAAAGCTCTCCCCTTCAACACAAAGTATTTAGACTTTGACATTGTGATCGAATATAGAATTCCAATCTACATCTTCAAGTAACATAAACAACTTCCTCGGTAAAGCAATTTGTGTCTTCCACATCTACATAATCACACAAAATCTATATTAGCAATTTAGCACAACTAATGATTAGCATTTTAATAATAACTCCCAAAAATCTATTATAATCCTCACTAGTATCAGTACATCAATCACATCTATTATAATATTAATAATTTAGATAACAAATTCCCATTAAAATCCATTCTATTATTACATAGACTCATAGATCATATCTTACCAGTGATTAGTTTTCCTGGGAAGCCTCACAATTTTTGAGCAAAAAAAACACATAATGAATATAGCAAAAAACCCACAGAATGCAAAGCCACAAACGAAAGAACCATTTTAGGATTTTAGTCAAGGTTGTATTTTTTTTTAGATCCGGTGAACAAAACAGAGTTGGACTTTTGGAATTTGGGATCCATATCTTTTGGTTTTTCTAGAAACACAGTCTTTCTAAATGTATTTATTAATACAAATATACAATTTCCTTTCATTCACAAAGTAATCAATATTTATTCTCACCGTATATTCATTCCGAGCACATTCTTTCAAACTAATCATAAATATATTAACAAACGTATTTAACAAAGTATTCACAAATATATTCATTCTGAAATTTCTGAGAATCGGAGTTACCTTGAAGCTTGGAAATGATTGTATGAATTCTAGAGTTGCTCTTCCCTATCACATATGAGCAGTGACTGGAAATCACTGGCCGGCGTCCGGCATCCTCTTGGCTGCTTACCGCCGCAGCAGATTCTGTGAATAGGGGTGAGAGGACCCGACGGTGGATTTCAAGCCACCAACTTCAAGCCACTGCCCCTGGATTTCTACCAGTGGTACGCCGTCGCCCAGGCCGACTGCTGGATCGGAGAAGATGAACGTACAAAGTCTCGACTTTGGGATAGGGTGGGACAGGTTCTGTTCTTACTCAAAATCAAATGAGCGAATGGTTATAAAAGTTTTAACTAACGAAAATCGGTTCGGTTCCTATATAAAAAATCAAGAATCGTTATGGAACCGAACCGGTAGTAAACGGTTCGGTTCTTCCTTTTACCGGTTTCAAGAATAATTTTTTCTCGTGTAAGAATTAAAACATAATTTTAAACAACTCTAATCGCTTCAAACATCAAAGCTCAAACTTAACTAATGAACTTTGAACACTTAATAGAACAAAAGTGAGTTAAATTTTCATGTAATAAATGAAACATTAAAAATCGTTGTAGTGTCGGAGCGATGAAGATTACTCGTCATCATAGTAGCAAGAATAGGACGCCTACTTCAAGACGTTCAAAACATAAAAAAAAAGACATTGAATTTGCATGTATAGAAATAAAAAACATTATTACATTCTATTGATTCATAATAAATCTAATAATTAGAAATATCATGAAAATAGTAAAGTAAAATATGTGCAATCAACTACAAGTTATTTGGGTTATTTTATATTTATAAAATTTATGTGATGGAACAAAACTTGATTTGTAGAAAGGAGTTTAATATATTATATCAACATCATGTACAATATTTATTACTTCTTTTCCGTTGATTAAATTAAAATTGTTAGTTAAATATCTTATATTGTTTTATTAATTGTTGGGTTAATGGCCCAAAGTCAGGGTCCGGCCCATTCACCCCTTTTACCAGACGTACGTCCAGGTAGAACACAAAGCTAGCCTGGCAGGCCCATGTTCCTCCAGGAGGGACGAACGTCTGCAGTTGGGGGTCTAGGCTCAACGGCCCATCTCGACGAACGTCTATGCAGGGACAAGGAGCAGGACCACGGGTCACCAGAATGACGACGAACGTCGTCAGAGCAAGCCCATAGCCATCAGAGGCAATCCAGTCCACATGGCAAGGATCCACAAAGGCCAGTGGACGAACGGCCAATACCTCTGGGGGCCACCTGGAGCGATCCAGCTCGCTC